TTTTCCAAAGTTCTCTGAGTTTCTACGATTTTTTCTGAAGCTATATGAAGTTTCCAGAATGTCTACGATGTTCCCTGAACTTCAAAGAAGTTGGCCAAACTTGTAGAGCCTATCGAAATGTTATAATTTCTCGAAATTTATTCCTCTAGTATAGAAACATTCATAAAATTTTTGCTTGTAGTTCAGTTCTATAAATAGCTGTAACATTTTTTTAACCTCGAACCTGCTTGGCAAAATAAGGGGCCTGGCTCCCTCGGCGCTCCCATTAGCTACGTCACCAACGTATACCGTACACATCCATTATTTTCATTTTCATTTTCATTTTCATTTTCATTTTCATTTTCATTTTCATTTTGCAGCGTTTGGTGGGGCAACGGGAGCGCAAGTCAATCCAAAGTTGAGGATAAAGGAAGGGTAATGGCTGAATAGTCTATGTGGACCACTTGAACGCCATGGGAAAAGGTAGGGATTGAAGAGGTCGGTTATTGAGGGGTTTTGAGGAAATGACACATAGTACTAGATTTGTGATGCAGAATGTGAAGAAACCGAAGTTCAATCTCCCACTGATTCATCCTTTCACATGTATACCAAATTGATAATTTAAAGCAACCATCAAAATAAACAGACAATATATGAAAAGACTAGTTGCCAGTTGCCCCCCACATCCTAACTCTTCTGTTAATCTGCTCAATGTTATTAGGCTGTCTAAATTTTTTATTTAAGTTCGTTTTATGATTATGATATCTCATTAGTCTAATTATATAAATAACTGAAATCTATAATTTACCTAATCAATCATAGCTCATGCTTTATTAAGTACCTAAACTGCTATGTAATCTAAAATGTAACGGATTTCAAGTAATTTTGACTTTGATCTATATTTATTATATCTTAGATAGACCCAGGTGACACCTTCAAGTGACTAAAATGCTTCACTTTGAAATTAATTTCCTAGCTGATTTTTAAACTATATAGGGTATATGCTCCAACTACGCTCACACGTTTCCACTATGTCGTCCCACAAAATTACGTATGGGTATGTCACAATAGAAGCATGCCACAGTGGAAATCCCGAGCCATAGTTCAAACACTTATCCCAAATCAAAATGAAGCACATATAAGATTAGTTACAATACCATGTACAAAAATGGTATTTAACATTGTTCCCTGAGTAATGCTTCAATGAAAACAACAATGAAAGCTTGTCACGCAAAAGAAGGAGCACTGTTGGGCACTTTCTGAAATATTTCAATAGTATAATTCCTTTGCAAGCCCAAATAAATCAATTATTTTATTCATGTGTTTCACTTATACATTTTTGCCAAAACATCAGCCTTATACATTCCATAAGACAAACCACATAGGTCCTATAAGAATGCATAAAAGGTAAGTGTGACCGCTTATACATTTCATTTGACACATGATCTTCATTCACTTTTTGCAAGGCGTCTGCTTATAAGTTGACTTATACATTTTATGAATAATCAGCAATAGAAATTTGCCAAAAGGTATAAGGAGATTTCTATCCGTGTAGGCCCTAATTCCAGCTCTATCTAGAATTCTATTCATTTAATAAAAATACTCGTAACAAAATTGTGCATTGACATAATGAATGAATCGTAAACCAATGTGACGAAAAAACGCGACTTTATTTCATCTTAAACTGCAACGGTTTCGGTATGGTTTAACCATTCATTTTTGTTTCAGATCGCTCTTCCCTTGAAAATACATGGCCATAGTGCCTTTCAACTAGTTATAACCTGGCTGATCCGGTGTGGCTTCTTTTCAATGTTGGTAGTCCTATTCGTTGCCATCGGCTGGCAGCAAGCGCTGCCAAACAGTGTTATGCGTAAAGCTAAATCGTGACTCTTCGATTGTTTGTTTACGTTCGTAAATTCGCGAATGATTAGAGAGAAGCAATATGGTCGGATAAGATAAGATAAAGTTGAGATAAGGTTGCACATTTTTAATATTGATAGACTACAACACTTACATTCGTTTCGTCACACCGGAAGAGTAAAAAATTGGTTCAATTTGACAGCTCGAAATTGGTTCGATTTTGAGGTCCATCTTTGCATCACCCAGGTCATAACTTTAACGGCTTCAACGTCCATCCACTTCACCAAAACTTCAATGATCGTACTCCACCAGCTTTCTGGCACGTGTTCTAAAAAAGTAGTGATCCTCCACCGGTACGAAGCCAAGTTTATCGAACATGGCTTTCGACGCCGTATTTGTACTGACCACCGTTCCGTAGCAATTCATTCCCACTTTGGCCACTTCCTTGGCGATGGCTTTCGCAACGAGACTTCCATAACCCTTCCGGAGGTGATTTTTCGCCACCTCCAGGGGACCGATGGCTCCCGTTGGCCAACAGAAACTCCACGCCAGCATTTCACCAGATTCGTTGAACAGTCCTGTCGATGCATTCCACGCTGCCAGTCGTTTCAGAAAATAGTCCGATCCCTCGCAACTGAACGGCCAAAGCTCGTTGGCAATGGAAGCATCTTTCAGTTCGAGTTTCTTCAGATACAGTCCTTCCGGTAACGCAATTTCCAACTGCAGACAATCTTCCTTTAGTAGCTCGTACTTTATACCGGGTTCTTCCCATATGAGATCAACATTCAACGATCTGAATACATCCTTCAATACCGATCGCCTGGAGGCGTGCGCACCACAGATCATGTAACTATAATCCCAATCGATCAGTAGGAGAGCCCGTTTCAATGAGTCATTCGATTCCTCCAAGCTGTACAGGAACATCTGGTATCGATCCTGGAATCATGTTCCGGATTACACACGTGACAATTCGAATTTCTGCATGCGAAATACTCACCACAATGAGGTAGGTTCCATTTTCCCGCCAACTGTCGTTCAACCCAAGCACCTGCAGTTGCCTTACCTTCGGATCAATCGCCACCCAGTTGATGTAGTTCTGTATGGTGTTGTACGCAATCTCGTGTCTGGGCCACTCGTGCTTGAACATGTCTCTTAGCTCGGGCCAGTCATCACACGAGATAAGCTTCAACTCGTCGCTAGTGTACATTTCGTCCCGGAAGTTTGGCGAAACCGGTTCTTTTGACACTTCGGCTGCTGCTAGGCGTCCTATGTGGACGGCAGTTGGAAACAAACTAACGTTCCAAAATTAAACGTTGAATTACGCTCGTTTATTTGGCACAGCAGTGCGAAAAAAAACGCGCAGCTGCACGGTAAGAAAAAATTACTCAAAATTAAGTTTAAAAATCTCAATGTTTGGTTCTAGCATTTGAGGTCCGCAATTGAGTGCATCAGAAAAGTGGCGTTGGTTCAAGTTTACTCATGTATGGAGTAATAATAGATAAACTCTAATTGAAGTTAATTTTCTGTTAATCATTGCTAAAAGTTAGTAAATAGTGTTTCATAAAATAACTAACGAAGAATATCTTGAAGTTAAAAAGAACTCAATTTTCAGTTAACAGTACTAAAACCGTCATATTTTCACCGTTGCGTACTATTCCATTTTTTAATGTAAGTCACAGCAACCTGCACTGCCATCGATGCTGTTATTTGTTTGTGCTCCATCGTCTCCGTTTGGGCTCCACTAGTTCATTAATTTGAATCTTTTACTGCAGGTTTATTAAAAAAAAATCAATTTGATTTAGGTTGCCATACATTTGTAGATGGGGCCTCCCTTAGCTCAGTCGGTAAAGGCGCATCTACAAAGCAAGACCATGCTGGAGGTGGCTGGGTTCAATTCCCGGTCCGGTCTAGGAATTTTTCGGGTTGGAAAATTTCTCGACTTCCCTGGGCATAGAAGTATGATTGGACTTGCCACACAATTATACCAATGTAAAAATGGTACAGGCATCGAAAGCTCTCAATTAATAACTGTGGAAGTGCATCTAGAACACTAAGTTGAGAGCACGCAAAAAGCTAATATGCTATATGCAATAAGCTTGAAATGCGAAGAAGAAGAAGAAGAAGAAGAAGACATTCGTAGATTTGTATTTTTAAGAAAGGAAAATTATACATATGTTCTTCCAATGTTGGGTAATAAAATGGTATAAATTTTAACAATTCCATTCTATTGATCGTTAGGTAATGTTCACTCAATGGATTCTTGATCAGGATTACTCAAAATTGAGATTTCTTCTTTAACTTAATTTTACTTAGCCCCACGGAAGCCACGTGTTGAGTGAAAGGAACTGAATTTTGCGTACCCTTTTCTTACCGTGTAGATTAGATAAGTGCGGTGATCTGATAAGGTGACATGACAATTAAGTTCTTTGTAAACATTGAAACAATTATAAAAGAGATAAACTCGTTTGCCTTTTGTTATGCTGTATATCAACGCGCTGAACTCAACGCTCTACAATCAGTAGCAATGATTGAATCTGATGTGCTGGTTCAGATGACATTATTGAACCCTGTTAATTTAAAAAAAAAAAAGTACATGTACCGTGTGGTGCTCGTCCACCGCTTGACCTCCATTCACCGCTCATTTTCTCAAAATTTGCTGAAAAAGTTCACAAAGTAACTTTCAAACATACAAATTATATACTAATTTACTCATTGGTCTTAGCTCACCAAAGTATACCTTAAACATCCCTCTTAAAGATGAATTAGCAAGATTTGGCATTACAGTTATGAGAAATTATTCAAAGATAAAAGTCTGATATGCAGGGCCGTCTAAATCGGGTCATCACTGTATCGGCTTTTGACGGCATCAACGTTGAAGCTCGGCAATCGAGATCCTATTGTAAGGCCACCAAGCACGAATTCGTTTGATGAAGATCTACATCTTTTGAGTATTCTCCACTAATAAACACCAAGTCGCTAGCATCATAACGGGAAAGGAAAATGAGAACCAGTTGAAATCATCCATCTCTTATTGGGCATGAAATATTTCCATAGAATAAAAATATCAGACTTTCTTACAATTTTAGCTTAAGTTTATTGCACCAACCATCTTGAAATGTAACGGTTCCGTTGTTTTTCAGATCATTCTTACCTTTTTTTAGCAGACGATAATATGTGTATCTGATGTCCGTCAAATTCCCAAAATTTCAATTATCATACTCCACCAGCTTTCTGGCACGCGTTCGAACATAGTAGGTATCCTCCACCGGTACGAAGCCAAGTTTATCGAACATGGCTTTCGACACCGTATTTGTACTAACCACCGTTCCGTAGCAATTCAACCCCACTTTGGCCACTTCCTTGGCGATGGCTTTCGCAATAAGACTGCCATAGCCCTTCCGGAGGTGATTTTTCGCCACCTCCAGGGGACCGATGGCTCCCGTTGGCCAACAGAAACTCCACGCCAGCATTTCACCAGATTCGTTGAACAGTCCTATCGATGTATTCCACGCTGCCATTCGTTTCAGGAAGAATTCCGACCCCTCGCAACTGTACGGCCAAAGCTCGTTGGCAATGGAAGCATGTTTCAGTTCGAGTTTCTTCAGATACAGCCCTTCCGGTAGCGCAATTTCCAACTTTAGGCAATCTTCCTTTAGTAGCTCGTACTTGATGCTGGTTGCTTCCCATAGAAAATCAACATTCAACGATTTGAATACATCCTTCAATACCGATCGACTGGAGTCGGGCGCACTACAGATCATGTAACTGTAATCCCAATCGATCAGTTGGAGAGCCCGTTTCAATGAGTCATTCGATTCCTCCAAGCTGTGCAAGAACATCTGGTATCGATCCTGGAATCATTTTCCGGATTACACACGTGAAAATTCGAATGTCCGCACGCGAAATACTCACCACAATGATGTAGGTTCCATTTTCTCGCCAACTGTCGTTCAACCCAAACACCCGCAGCTGCCTTATCTTCGGATCAGTTGTCACCCAATTTATGTAGTTCTGAATGGTATTGTACGCGATCTCGTGTTTGGGCCACTCGTGCTTGAACATATCTCTTAGCTCCGGCCAGTCATCGCACGAGATAGGCTTGAGCTCATCGCGAGTGTACATTCTGCTCTGGAGATTTGGTGAAACTGGTTCTATTGAGGCTGTGGCTGCTGCTGGGCGTCCGATTAGAACGGCAGTTGGAAGCAAACTAACGTGTCGATTTCAATCTTGACTAGGTCCCTTAATTCACCGGCAGCGCGCGAATCATAATCAGCCAACGCAAAATTTCATTAGATACGACGCTATGACCAGGTAAAATGTTGACTTAGGTCGGTGATTAAAGTGATGTGATGGACAACAGCTGATGACATGACAATTAACTTCATTGAGAGCGGTTCCACGCCAAATAGAAAAACAAAACAAAATGTGACTAGACCTTCTCAGATTTTTATGAAACTTTGCATCATTGTTTGTTTTTGACAATCTTTCACATTTCTGCTAAAATTTGGATATTTTGAATGAGGTGTTTTTTTCCAAAATGGCGCATTTGACATTTTTCAATAAATACCGTGTTCAAATCTTATTTATTTATAAAAAAGCTATTCAGAAATGCCAACTCATGAATTTTGAAAACCTTGAACATTTATAAAACTCGTGAAGATGTTATTCAATCAAGTTGCTGCAAAACGATTGTGACTGATATGGGTTGCACACAAGTAACCATAATTGTTCAGTGACAAGTGTGCTGGGCAGTAATATGACATTGAGCCTTAATAATATTTTAATGGTGAAACAATAAATTTGATTCTATTTATTTCATAACAACGATTGAGACCTCGATTAGGGGAGCCTTAAGAGATTACTGATTTCGGATAAGCAATGATTGTTTGTTCATGCTTTTTGTAATGAAATCACATAGCGTCCGTATGTCATAAAACATCTCAAACTTAAGAAAATTCTCAGAGTCAGGTAATTCCATGAATTTTGTTATTAGGTTATTATTTTGATTTTGAACATTTCATTATCATTTAAATCTCAACATAGGAACCAAAATCAAAGAGCTTGAATTTTATAATTGTATGAAGTTATGGCTTTGAAACATGGTAAAGTGCACACAACATAAATTTTGTACATTTAGGACTTAGGAAAATGTTCATGATAGATGTCGATGCACAATTCTTAACATTCTGAATATTAAAATACAATAGTTTTGAGATTCCACACCTATCTTGATTTTATCACTAAAAAAATATATCTCTGATACAGGTTGTATGCATAAATTCTTTAAATATAAATGTTGATAAAAGCCAATGAAATTAGATCAATTGTTATAATTCTGACTACGATAAAATTGAGATCCTTTCTAGACAGTCATTTCATAAAAATTGTAGTACATGAATTTTAAAAACAAATGAAATAAAAATTTCTATAACTATAATATGTTCAACCTAATCAAAACTTTCATAAAAACTGCACAAAATTGATATGCCTGAAAAAAAATTTGGTGAAATTTTGTTCAAAATAAATTTTAGGTGTTAAAAAACAGGTGATGATATGATGGGCTTCGACAAGCTTTTAATCTCCTGGCTTTCAAAATAAATCATTCAAGATCTTGAAAAACTTACCTAAATTCTGAGATTTACAGTATTTTTCGAGGGAAAAAAAACTAAAATGCAAAAATTTCGAAAAATCTAGACATTCGACAAAAAATATGAAAATTCAAGTAATGATTTCATTTTATCATGTTTTTAAGAAACCAGACTTCGAATATCATAAGCATTAGATTCAATTAGCTGGAAAACTTTTGAATACTTCCTGAACAATTTACAGTCTTGAAATAATATTTGAATGTTTAAAAGTTGTAGATCCTCAGAACTTGATCAACCTGAAGTGTTGGAAAAATGTCCAGAGAACTTTACTAATATCTTCGTCTATATGGAGACCTTTTGAATATTTTCTGCTGTCTAGGAAGGATGCATCGAAGAATATTCTGTAACATATACAACGTTTCCTGAACATCTACAATCCTTTAAGTTTTACAAAATTTCCTCAACTTCTACGAAGTTCCCTGAATTTATTCCATATTCCATATTCTCTTTACATCTTTCGTAATTCTATGAAGATATTTGAACATATTTGCACTTCTGGAAAGACATCTATCATCTACAAATATTTTTGAACCCCTGGAAAACTCCTTGAAATTTAACGAAGTTCCCATAACCTCCAAGTAGTTCATGGAGCTTTTTTGAAGCAGGATCTGTGACAAACTGCAACGAAGTTCCCTTAACTGAAACGAGGATCCCTGAAGTTCTTAGAAGTTCATTGGACTATTTTGAGATCTTCTACAAAATTTCCTGAACTTTTTCATTATTCCTTCTACAATGTTTGCTGCACTTCTACGTTTCTCGTGAAGTTCCACGAACGAAATTTCTTAAATTTGTACGTAATTTCAACAACTATTCCAAGTCAATGAGGCTTCAAAAAAGTGGCCGGAAATTATATAGAGATTCCCGAAAGGACTTTAATCGTTATTTTAAGTGCAATTTTATTAATCGCTGTTAAATAGTAACATCGAACTTGACAAGCTTGACAAAATACCGGCGAGTCAAAAAATACCTAAAAAATTCTGAAGGGGGCCTGGCCCCCTTGGCACCCCCATTAGCTACGCCAATGCAGTGAAGACTTCTGCAGTACGATGATGAGAAAAAGCGAAACGGCAGAAGAATATGAAAAACAATGCCTATGCATTCCAAGTTCGTTTTGGCACGCGCGACTGTGTGTTGAAAACAAAGCTGGCTTCACACTCACATAAGCAAGCAAAGCAGCAACTGCTTCAAAACGAACACAGATGAGTGTCGTGATTGTCGGGAATGATCAGATCGGTGATGGATCACCACCGTAGACGACATTCACCAGTTGCTTTTTACTTCTTTCGTCAACTCGATGGATGGTTATGGAAAGTGCTTCGACCAGCACATTGGTAGGAATGTACAAAGCGTTACTACCATCATCTGTTTGACGATCGGGATTGGGAAAGGTCACAACTCTGGAACACTTAAAATTTGTCAAAAACCGATAAAAAACTACTTTTGGTCGAATTTTTGAACTTTTGCTTTGTGCAATATTTTAGAAATTTTTTGAGCAATATTGTAGTAACTTATTATGCAACATTTTAGTAAGATCACAAATATTGTTTTCTGAGCAAACATTACAAAAAATATTACGGGAAAAAGGCTTTAAATTTGACTAAAAATTCTTGTTCTACGATGTTTTTTTTTTCTTCAATTTATTCCATAAATTTATCAGAACTCCAAATAAAATAATTTAAGATTTTCTAACAAACTCTCATCAGATGACCATTGATTTCTCTTAAATTTACCAGGAATTCTAATCCCTACCTAACATATAGTAGAATATTGGAAAATCCAAGATTCACTATTCATCCAAGCATTAGTATTTAAAACATCTAAAATCCTAAAATCTTGGAATTCAGGATTCCAATTTAAAAATTCAATATCTCACTTTTCCATATTTTAATCTAATGAACCATTCACGGTTATAGTTGAAAAATTTAAATTATGATTTCAGGAAGTGTCCATTAGACTGATCCAAAATTAGAAATTTTTACTCCACACCCGAGCAGGAACCGATAACTAACCGATAACATATGAATATCTTAATGTGGGTTGATACCTTATTTTGGTATGCTTGTGGTATAAAACCTTGTTTTGATATTATTCAGTTATCGAAATATTTAGTAAAATATCAAATTAATATCAAAATAACAAAATGTGATCTTTCAGTTTTTAGACAATAACACCTAAAAAAGCTATTGTATTGGTATTAGAAGACCTTTCAAACAGCAAGTTATGGTATTCCCAACAAACAATTTGTGCTGATTAAGAGCTGAATAAGTTATTTTTTAGCTGAAGAAGCATATTTTTGCCTGAATAAGCTCTTATTCCGCTTCCAATGTTTGTTGGGTTCTGGCATAAAAAAGCGTCTGTTATCCGTCAGTTATTATAATAACTAAATTAATTATTAGTTCGTTATTCGTAGAACATTTTTAAGTTATTATTTTTTGTATTTTACCTCTTATGTCAGTCTCGTCAATACCATATTTAGGTTGCCAGTTATGCTATTTTCATACCTGAGTTTGGTATCCATAAGGTATTTTCTCCTGCTCGGGCAGTACTCAAACGGTTCCGAATTGGGTTGTGGCATCTGCATAACAGACGCCATCGAGTTCTGTTCATTTCCAGCAGATCCAGCATTTGTTGCGCCACTGCTGAGTCAAAATTCCCTAGCTGTCGCCAGTCATCGACCCTACAATAAGTGTCGAGGTACTGCATAATCAATTTCCGAGGAAAGGATCTAATTACTAAGCCATTGCACTACGCCTGTTTCCAAGCGACGTTGTCACCATGCGACATGTAACGTGGTAAAGCCGCAGCGCGGTTTCTCTCTTCATCATTTCTCTCCCTCTCTTGGTCGATCTATGTATCGATCGCTGATTGGCTAGCAAATACATAATTACTTCAAATACCTCCAGTTTAGGCTAAGTTAAATTTGAACAATAAAATCAATCTTGCATAAACGATCAACAAGTGAAGTTTAATCATTTAATGAGAAACACAAGTCACAGATAGCAGGATACTTCACAGGGTCCTGATTAGCCTTCCAAAAATTTAACTCATTGAGTAAGAAACTGACTTGGCACAAACCATTTGAAGTTGGTATGGACATTACTGTGGGAAAACCTAACTTTGTGTTCTTAACTAACAATTCACCGTATCAGTCTCCTTCAAAAAATGATAGGGGAACCCGAGAAAAGTAAGAGATCAAATTGAAATCAGAATTTGCTGTTATGATGTAATTTATTTTGAATACTCCATTTGATCTCATTTTGGTTGACTTAACGGTTAACACAGCAAAAATGAGAGCAAAATTTTACACTGTTGAATCAAACGGAAAACTAATTCTGCTTTCAATTAAATCAATTTGATTACTGATTTTGCATTCATAATGTTTGACTGAATACGGGCCTGTCGTAAATGGTTAGCATCCATGTTTATCACGCTGAAAGATTTGAGCTCAAATGTCACCTCGGGCTAGTCACGAATGACCTAAAATGTGTTAAACAAAACAA